TATATNTATATATATATATATATATATATAATATATATATATGTGTGTGTATGAGTGTGTGTTTGTGTATGTGTGTGTGTGTTATGAAATCTACATGTTTCACTTAAGTTCGGGTACCTAGGCGAGATTTGTTGATATGATCACGAGGAGGACATACATGTTTGCGTGGAATATCTAGAATATGTATCTGTATCTATTGTACCTATAGCCCCAACGGATGCGCGTGATATCTCAGTCATGAGTTGGCAATGCACTTGGGCAACAACATTTATACACCGATTAACTATATAAACGACTATTGGGTTGTATGTATTGTTTACATGGGTACATGCTTATCGATTGTATATAATTCATGTGTATATTAACCGTACACACACAACCCACATTCTCATGCACATGCATGTACATACACACAACAGGGACGGTTCAAAGCAGAGCAGATAGACCAACAGCAGAGGCAAACAGCGCGAAGGGCCCATCTGCAGCAACTCCACACAGACCAGATAGCCTGGGTGCAGCGACACTTTGAGACGTTCAAGCACAAACGCGTTGGCAATGCCTGAGGACACATGCGCGTGTGTGGGTGTGGGTGTAGGTGTGGTAGGTGTGCTGAATAAAGACACGGTTCACACAGACGGGAAATAATGTTTCCGCTTATACGTAGGGGGCGGGAATGTCAACTTGGCAGCAAGGGTGAGGTTTTATGGGTTGCACTAGGGTTTTAATTGCATGGTGCGTGGTGGTTATTTCTTTGCCTTTGTCTTCTTGACTGGTTTTTTTCCTTTGCCTGCTTTGGCATCCTCAGCCTTGCGTTTCAATGTGCTGCTCTTGGACGAGGGGGCGGCCTTGAAGAACGTGTCTAACCGTACCTGTATATGTGACGAGAAATAAAGATATGAGTATGAGTCTGTGTGTGTATGTGTGTGCGAGATGAGGTCTATGTGTGTGTGTGTATGTGTGTGTGATGGTAGATATAAGTGTGTGTGTGTGTGTGATGGTAGTTATAAGTTTGTGTGTGTGTACATGTGTGATGATATGTAAAAATAAAAGTCTAAACGTACGTGTGTGTGACGATGTATAACACGCTACCACAGCCAAACGCACATACGCCTAGTTACAAGTGTACTCGCACTTCAGCGGAGTCTTATCCTCACCTGAGCTGATTTCTGCTTGGCTTTTCCTAATTTGGCAATACCCGATTTGATACGAGATTCGTCAAAGTTGTTCTCGTCGCACATGTACTTAATCAGCCCAGCCTCATCGCACTTCTCCCATTTAATCTGCACACGGTGGATATGGGTTCAGAATTTTTATAGAAATAAAGATATATATATCTATATATATATAGATAGGGTTTTAGGGTTTAGGTATATATATGTACATAAA